CTCCGAAAGGGACGGCGCACCCCCCGCGGCGGCGGCGGCGTCGGACAGGGGGGGCGGGGGCCCCGCCGCCGTGCTAAACCGGCAGAAGGAGTAACGGGTGGCGGCCGTCGGCGGGAAGGCAGGCGAAGACGACGAGGACGGAGAGGAGGAGGACGACGACGACGACGACCCGCCGCCGGTCCGGCCCTGCGAGGTCTCCCAGATCTGCATCCAGAGCGCATTGGCGGGGCCTTTCTGCTCGGGCTGGATCCAGGCTACGCGGGGATCCATCCATCCGGCCCTCCCTTCCAGCCGGTTCCGACGGCCCGTCAGACACGCGCCTGTAGGAGGAGGAAGGGGAGGAGGGGCGGCGGCAACGGCATCTGAGGCGGGGCGCTCCGGCTGGAGGAAAAGGCAGAAAACGGAGGAGGCGCCGATGACCAGGACCTCGCGCAACCGCTCGCTGCCCCCTCCCTAAAAATCAACTCTGCGCCTGCGCAGTGGCAGCCTTTCAGGAGTGCAGCTCTCCTCATTATCTGTGATTAAAGAGAAAGCACTCAAAGGCGCGCGTTGAGGGTGACGGTCCGATTGCTGGGAAACGAAATTCCCTGGCTTCTTGGATGCTTTTTTTTTTCCTCCTGGGGGCGAAAGCGTCTGTAAAGCAACATTAAAACAGTTTAATGGTCAAAGCAGCTGTTTTTTGCCTGAATGATCGGAAAGTATTAGAAAAGAGAGCAATGCGAGTTTTTTAAAACTCAGGCCTCTCTTTATTAATGAAAACATCGGTAAACTGTAAAACGTGGTCAGAACGTCCCAATACAGCTCGGTTGCAACAAAGGAGCGAAAGACAACTTACTGCAACCTTTTTCAATCTGACGACCTCAGATTTGTCAGAATACGAGACCCCAAATTCCTAGCCTGATTCCAACACATCTGGAAGGCCGCAGTTTGGGGAAGGCTAGTTTGCTGCAATTATTCCCCACAGACTCTCGCAGCCCAATTCCAGTGGTCCTCTAAATTGCACACAGCTGTTTGACCGAGAAATGGCCTTCTTTGCTTGCAAGGTTATCGTCCCTTTTCTGCAGCTGCGTCGGATTTCTTAGAATTTTTTTTTTTTTTTTAAATCTGCGCTCAGTCGTTACCGACTCTGCAGTGACTGCTT